GGGCAAACAAAGCCGGCAGCCCAGCCAGACCCGGCGGAGGTGGTCCTAAGCCGGCCCCGCGCCCCAGCCTCCTTGGGAGCCCGGGGTCCTCGGCGGGGTGGTGGGGGGAGGTAGGCCACCTGCTCCCCTCCCTTTCCCAGAGGCCCGATCCCCGGAGAGAAGGGGTCTGCCCGGCCGTGCTGGCACCAGGCAGTGAAGGGGTTAAGCCCCCCCTTGGGGTGCGGTCTCCAGGCCAAGGTCAAGGTGCTGGAGGATGGAGGCTGCAGGTGCTCCAGATGCAGGTGCCATGACAACAGGGCGCCATGGAAACGCCCAGCTCCCAGGGGACCCCAGCTTGGTGCTGCAGATGCCAGGCTGCTCCCCAGCCGTGCCAGGGCAGGAGTCCCCGGGAGCCTGTTTGCACCTGCCTGTGCGGGGCTGGGGGCCCAGATGGGGCGCCTTCTCAGGGACCAGAGGCATGGCACACGGGGGCAGCACCGGGCAAAGGGTTATTTGCTGCTGACCGCAGCATGGGCATCAGGGCAGGCCTGTGGGTGACATCCCCGCTGCCGTGCTGCATCCGGGGCAGCCAGATGTGGGCTGTGGTTACCCTGAGCTCGGTGCTGGGCCCTGCAGGGCGTGAGACCAGCGCTCCTCTAGCAACCAGCCTGCATTTGTGCCCGCTGCCCTGGTGCGGAGCAGGCCGCGGAAGTCCAGCTGCCCCGCCAGCCCCGGGGCAGCGTCCCAAAGCCCATGCAACGCTGTCAGGGCAGCCTGGGCCCAGAGCCACAGGCACCTCGCACAGGGCAGGAGGGCAGCCTAGGGCCCTCCATCGCAGGCGAAGCACGAGCTCCAGGGCCCCTGGATGTTACTGGCTGGGCCCTTGCCCACCCCGCCGAGCTCCGGGCTGCTCCTCACCCCTGGGGCCCTGACTGCCATCGCGGTGCAGTAGTGTCGGGCCTCAGCAGCGCCGGGAAGAGGCTGCAAGCTGAGCCCAGCCTGCACTCCGCTCCTGGGGCTACGGGCAGCCTGATCCGGCCCCGGGGCATGGCCCAGGCGGCTCCTGCTGCTCCCTGCCCTGCACCCCTTGCCCTCCTCAGCTGCCCCAGCTGCCCTCCGCCCCCAGCTGCCAGCGTCTCTT